CAATGGTGTGAACGACCTCCCGCACCTAGCCCCCTCACGCCGGACGAGCTGATCCCGACTACAGGCAAAGCCAACCTTGGGGACCAGAAGGTTGGAAGCTTTGAGTTGAAGGTTGCCACTGTCAACATCCAGGGCATTGCAGGCAACTACAGATACATTGAGGAGCAATGCGACCAACGAAGCCTCAATGTGGTCTTCCTACAAGAAACCAAGGCGACATCAGGGCACTGCACCTCCGCCCTCTACACCCGACTCTCCAGCGAATGCAACAAGCACTGGGGAGTAGCCATTTGGCTGCATAGACGACGTGGTGCTGTGCAAATTGACAATCGGCCGTACGTGGTGCAGGATGCCGACGTCTCTATTCGCCACCAAAGTGAAAGACTCCTCGCTGTGGTGATCAATATCGCTGGCAAGAAGCTAGCACTGGTGGCGGCACACTGCCGCCACTCAAGCCTCCCCCGAGAAAGACAGCAATTCCTGGTGCAGCTCCGGGGGGTCCTTGTGGAGCTCAAGAATGTTGCACTCCTGGTCTGTGGAATTGACTTGAACGGACGAGTGCCAACGGACACAGGAGGCCTGGAGTATGGCGAGGCGGATGATGCTGGTTGGAGCTTTGTGGACAGCCTGCATAATATAGGAGGATGGATCCCCTCGACCTACCAGGGCATCCACCAAGGAGACAGCGAGACTTACCGCCATCCCTCCGGCACTAGTCATAGGATTGACTATGTGGCCTTGGGAGGCCGAGCGGTCTCCCAGGTGGAGTTCACGGAGATTTGCCAGGAGTTCGACAATGGCAGCCCGAACGTCGATCATCACCTCCTCATGGCCAGCTGCAGAGGAGAGTTCCACAGCTCCGGGACCGGCAGCAGACTGTGGAGGCCACAATACGACAGGGACAAACTTGGCACGGCGCAGGGCAAAAAGATCTTGGATGAGGAACTGGCGGGCTTCGAGCACCCGACGTGGGAAACCAATGTCGACGAGCACTGCCAGAGTGTCCAGAACTTCCTGGTGGATATCCTCACCAGGCACTTCCCGGCTAAGCAGCGTGAAGCCAAGGCAAGCTACATCCCGGATGAAGTATGGAAGCTGAGGATGGTGAAGAACCACTTCAAGCGACGAGTCCGGAAGCGAAAGGACCTGTGGCAAGACGCCCTGGCACGGGCTTTCAAGCAGTGGGCCACCCGGGAGAACTACGACGTGAACTACCTTGTGGCCCGCGAGGGGCTCCTCTACAACCTTGCCGCAGCAGCCATACGAATGGCTACGGCCCGTATCAGAGGCAGGCTTCGGACAGCCAAAAACGAAGGGCTACAGAGGATCGCCGCGGAGGGCCATCAGGGCGTCATCCAAGTCTTGCAAAGAGTCAAACGGGCAGGCTACGGTGGCTCCAAAATGAAGCCGGTCCGGAGGGCGCTCCCGATCCTCATCAACCCCACCACGGGGCAGCCTGCCGAGAGCAGACGTGATCGGGACGAGATATGGTTGCAGCACTTTGGAGCACAGGAGTACGGCGAGAGCATTGCGGTTGAGGACTTCTTGTGCGGCCAGGCAGGCTACTGTGTGGATGTCCCGCTACAATGGCAAGTCAATGACCTGCCCAACATTGCCCAGATTGAGGAGGCGCTGAGACGAACCCCGAAGGGGAAGGCCTGTGGCTTGGACGGGGTCCCTAGCGACCTACTACCAGCAGCCCCGACACGCCTGGCCCTCGTTTTGCAGCCGCTGTTCATCAAGTCTATATGGTCACGGGAGCCCAGCCCACCCAATGGAGGGGTGGCATCCTTTTCGAGGCGTACAAGAACAGCGGTGCCTCCTCCCTGGTGGACAACTACAGAAGTCTGTATATCTCGTCATTCCTGGGCAAAGCCTACCACAAGACGGTTCGGGCGATGATAGGCGACGAGATTGAGCAGTTGCTGCATCCCCTACATTGTGGCACAAGAAGGGCCTCGCCGGTCTCCTTCCCGGCCATTTTTGTGGTGGCCATGCAGCGGTACTGTAAGACCAAAGGACACAGCTGCGCCACCCTCTATGTGGACACGAAGTCGGCCTACTATCGAGTGGTGAGGGATCTGGCAACAGGGTGCATTGAGAATGACAAGGAGGTCATCCGCCTTTTCAGGGCGTTTGGCATGCCACCTGAGGATTTACATGACCTGATGCAGATGATACAGGAGGGAGGAATGCTTTGTCATGCCGGAGTTCGGGACCCACTTCGGCACGCGATAAAAGATATGCACCTCCGTACATGGTTCATCACAGCGTACTCAGAAGGAGGCAAACTATGTCATTCTCGTGCCGGATCTAGGCCGGGCGAATCATTCGCCGATGTGATCTTTGCTTTTATTTACAGCAAGATCTTGTATCAGATCCACGAACACCTGGAAGCAGAAGGGCTGAACATCTCCTTGGAATGGGACGAAGCAGCAGGAATTTTCCCTTCTGGAGATGGTGGCTCACCACAGCAAGGCTGGGAAGCTACTTGGGCAGATGACTCGGCCTATGTGGTGGAGGACGAATGCCCAGCACAGCTCCTGAGCAAAGCACAGAGAGTGAGCGAGCTGGTCCTTGACACTCTGATGGCGCACGGTATGCAGCCGAATGTCAAGGCCGGCAAGACGAGCCTCATGCTCCAGTTGCGAGGGCCTGGCACCCAAAAGGCCAGAAAACAATACTTCCCGCGAGGAAGTAAGACCTTGAGGATCCCGAGCCTGGGATTGGACCTGCCGGTTGTGAACCAGTACAAGCACTTGGGCAGTATCCTTGACCACCAGCAGACGTTTAAGCCGGAGGCCCGACACAGACTGGCTCTGGCCTCGCAGGCCTATGAGTCGGCCCGGCCCCTTATGCTGGGCAACAAAACTCTGACCTTAAGTACAAGGGTGGCGCTGTTCGAGATCACGGTGGCGACCAGCTTCTTCAACATGGCCATATGGGCTCCAGCAGGTCCAGCCTGGGACAGCATGTGCGCGGGACATGCGCGACTGGCGAGGCGACTGTTGGCCCACCAGCTGCGAGACGACCGTCTTTTCAGACTGCCGCTGCCCGTAATCCTGTGGAAGACGGGATGTCTTCCTCTCGAGCTTCTGGCGATTCGCCAGAGGCTGAGTCTCCTGGGCTCTCTGGTGAGAGCAGCCCCTGGCTTGCTTTGGGCGGCCCTCCAAGCAGAGAAAGATTGGATGGCACAGATCCGTGCTGACTTGGCTTGGGTCATCAAAGATAGAGAAGGACAGTGGCCGCAACTATTGCCACAAGCCTGGCCCGAGTGGTGGCGTGTCCTCAAAGACTCGCCCCAAAGACTCAAGCGACTGACCAAGAGCCGGCTCGAGGAGGAGCAGAAAACCAGGGCGCAGGAGGAAGTGACGGACATCTGTCTATGGGCCATGGCGAGGGGTCTACAACATGGGGCCAAGGCAAGCAGCCGAGACTGGCAATGGTCGTGCCGGAAATGCGCCAAGGGCTTCGACAGCAAGGCCAAGCTCAGTGTGCATTACTTCAAGGTCCACCAGCGGGTCGCTACGTACCGCCTCTACGCGCAAGGAACCCAATGCCGTGCGTGTGGAACGGAGTGCTGGTCTGAAGGACGACTTGCGGTGCATCTACGTTCGTCCTACAAGTGTGTCAATGCGCTTGGGGCTGGAGGATGCACAGCTGACCAGGTGACACCTGGCTTTGGCAGCAAGCATCGAAGGCGAGCTGACTTGGAGCAGCACACCTTGGCTATGCCGGAGCGCCTAGAGACAGCAAGCCAACCCTCCAATGAGATGGTGTGGCACCCTAGCGCAACGGCGACCTACAAGGAGATCTGCGACTACCTCCAGGACGATGCCGAGGGCGAGGAGCACGTGACGATCCTGGAGAAGGTCAAAGAGATCGTGATCGAGCACCCCCTCTATCGCCAGGAGGAGAAGGATGTCCTGCACACCATCAACGCCGAGATCGATGAGTTACAGCAGGACCCGGATACCCGTGTCTGGACATCTGGCCAGACACAAACGATCAAGGCCCAGCTCAAGGAGTGTCTGGACTGGGTGTCGACGCCCTTTCTGGAGCAGGGCACACAGCGCCAACAGACCCTCGCGGAGTTCAAGAAGGACGTCGACGAGACCGACTGGGCATCGATTTTGGCCTCCCACTACAGCGACGGGACCCGATCCACCACTTGTACATCTTTGCCTGAGAGCTGGGAAGCCGACTGGCGAAAGGCAATTCAGAGTGTGGATCTGTCGGCCGTAGCTGCAGACCTTACAACTTTGTTACCCTCACGGCTCGGAGAAGCCTGGACATGGATCCTTGAGGGGAAACGTGTAGAGGTGGAGGCGCCCCAGACTTTCTGGGCTTGCCGATTGGCTCTACCTTTTAGGGTGGCCATGGCATCTTCTGCAACTTAATTAGGCCGCGTACTTACCGCTGATTGCACCGAAATGCCGAAATATATTGTATATATATATACACATACATATACATATCGTGGTTGGTAACCTACTACTTAATTGGGGCCCAACGGAACTATAAGGGCAGACATTGTGGCATCATAGGGTTTGTTGCCTTAATCAAAAACAAGAGGATTCAGAGGTTCAGACTGGTTTTATACGATCTGGCTTGTTTAAGGAGTTGTTTACGGTTCGATTGGGGGTTACGAAGTGAATGAAGGAGCTTGGCGTAAGTTACAAGAATAAGGATGGAATACCATGTGCTTATGTACTATATCCTCTCGTGCTGTGGTATTCAGATGCCCATAAACCCTAAACCGTCCCAAAACCCTAAAAGCTATGGCATAAAGTTTACCCACACAAGGCAATATAATTCTGGGATTTCCGGCCGTCTGCCTCTTAGGGGCACTTCTTAGGGTGCTATGGAGTGTTGTATCAGGACCTGAAGCTGAAGTTGTTTAGGACTTTGGGGTTTGAAGGATTGATTGTAGTGTAGCCTCAGGATGCCAAGGCCTAGGCGGATGAGCCCCGGTGGCCAAAACAAAGTCAGGCGTCGCACTATGACAGGTTACAATGTCGAACAAAGGTTGACGGTTTCCTATGCAGCTGCTGATAAAAAAAAAAGGAAAGCTTGCTGAATCGCCGAGCCTCCCCATTGCCCCAGCACCAGACACCGCCGGTGTTGTCCAGTGCCAGAGAGAACTGGGCGCCACACGCAATGCCTACGAAACTGACGGAGCAAGGGAGCCGATGAGGCTTCGGAACCATCCGGCAGCTCCCTTCCGATGTGGGGAGGTCGCTGTCCTTCCCTCGTGGAGCTCGGGGTGAGGCCAGGGGACTTTGCACCAAGACCTCGTCTGCCGCAGTCTTCCCGCCAACCTGACTTCGAGCTTAGGACCCCGAGCTGCTTCGGCCGAGGCTGCTTACGGGTTTTTTTTAGGATTTGTTATTAAAGTTTAGGGTTTAGGCTTAGGGGCCTATATACAGTGTGGGGTGCAGAAGCTAAAAAGCTTAAAAGCATCCCAAATGTCCTGCAGCCTTTCAACGAGAGAACCTTCTGCTGTGCATTCAGCAGAACCCCAAACAACCCTGAGGTTCTAGGTGTTACCTAGAGCCTAGCCGAAGTAGACCCAGCAACAACTTCTGCAAGACGTATGGAGGGGAACCCCCTATACACCCTAAACCCTATATACCCCATCTACCCCCCCATATACCCTCTATCTATCTATCTATCTATCTATCTATCTATCTATATATATATGTATATATAATTATATATATACACACTATATATATATATATAGATACATACCCTATATACCCAGATACCCTCACCCCACCAGCCAGAGCCGCTCCCGCCTGGCAGAACTCATCAAAGCCCCAGGCGTAGAGTTTCCCCTCCGTGTCCAAAGCCAGGCAGTGGGCCTGGGCTATCCGATTCTGCTACGCCGTTTTCTGCTTGGGGCGTAGGGTTTAGGGGTTTAGGGTTTAGGGTTAAGGGCTTTAGGGGTTTAGGGGTTTAGGGGTTTACGGGTTTACGGGTTTAGAGGTTCAGGCCTGGTCTACCGTTTCTGTTTGGCTTGAATGCCAGAGCCCCAAAGATGATATACAAGTACCTAGGGACGGGCTCCTTGAAACGGTTCTGTGAAGGGCTCCTTTCGGGGGAATACTTGCCCAAACCATAATGGATCAGAGCGGTACTTCCCAGTATAGAAACCCTCTACTTTGACTATGTAGGCACTTGGGACCGTTTGGGAGAGTGTGTCTGGGTGGGTGGGTGACGAATGGCTTGACTGCATGTCGTTTTTCCAAGCGATGTTTATACCACAGCGGGCTGCAAGCTAAGGTACACAGGGATTATAGCAACCCAAAACCCTAAACCCTAAACCGTCCCCCAAAGCCCTAAACCCTAAACCCTAAAACCTAATCCCCCAAAGCCCTCACTGCCCTGACACCCGGATCGGGGCCTCCCCACACGCCACGTCCTTGATCCGAAGATCCTTGAAGGACACAACACGGACGGGAGAGCCACTCCACGTCAAGTCACCTCCGGGCTTAAGACTCACAGGACTATAATCCCTCGGGATCCAAAAAGCTAAAGGGTCCGACAGTAAGTACCTCTACTATTCTGGGGGCTCCTTATTCTAATTCATAGTATAATAAACCAATAAATAAAACAAACATATACACACATATATATATATACATATGTACATATTTGTTTTTTGTTCTTTGTATCTCTCTCTCTCTCTCCCCCCAAAACCGTATTCTAGTTTGCTATAAGGCCCCTAAATGAAACCCTAAATACCCCAAAAGGAGGGTCGGAGGACCTGGGACTTCAGGGCTACGGTTGATGATATAAACCCTGCATTGCAAATTATAAGGAATAAACCCTAATTATAAGGAGTACACTATAATTATAAGGAGTATACCATAATGATAAGGAGTATGCCATCAACAGTAATCTATGGACTTTAGAACTGGTTGACTTTGCTCCCGCATGTGCGATCATAGGCTATTGGGGCTGAAAGGATACATGACGCTAGGGCATAATGATCGGCTTAGGGTTTAGGGTTTGATAGGGCTTAGGGCTAAGTATCGTCATCCTCATCATCATCATCATCATCATGCATCATCACCAGTATGCATCATCATCATCATCATCATCAGCGAAATCAGCACCGTCAGAACCATCAACATCGTCTTGCTGGGGTCCCTTACTGTCTGACACTCCCCTTGGCGCCGCTATCGCTTAGCCAGGTTCCCAGTGAAGGCCCAATGCCCTAAACGAAGCCTCAGGTGTCGACACCCTAAACCCTAAACTTAGGGTTTAGGGTTTGGGGTTTAGGATTTAGAGTTTAGGATTTGGAGTGTAGGGTTAAACTTAGGCTCTATACCCTATAAACGCTTGATCACTTTCAACAATGCGGGCCTGAGCCCATGCTGCGGGAGCTCGACGTACTCGCACCAATGCCGAGCTGGCCCAGTTCGTTAAAGCCAAAGGTGAAGACGGTGCCGCGCCAGACGTCCTCCCCATGCACATACCCTGCCAACATCTTTCGTATACTCGCAAAGCCTAAACCCTCATAAAACAAATTAAACCTGCAAGCCGAAAACAAAAGAGTACCCTGATGCTTTTAGGTCCTGACGGTCTCCAGCAATGCCGCTGTTGCTGTCCCGCTGCGCATCCCGCTCTTTCCCCTGCACCTTTGCAGCTCTGGGGGTTTTCGGCACGTTTTATGGACTTATCAGGGACTTTGACTCTAGAATGTTATAGGTCTTGGCTTAATCTTCTGTAGTTTGGGGCTGCAGGGTTCCTCGCTTGAGGCTGCGTCCCAAAGCCTGATAAGCCAAAGTATATGCTACTACTAGATAGAGGGCTTTAGCATTAAGGGCGGAGGGGGTTGCATGGAGCTCCATGAGCAACTGTTCAGGTCTGCAGAGTAAGTAAGTGCAACAAGATCCGCACTATTAAACGTAAAGCCTCGGATACAGCACACAACCTTGCTGGCAAGTACCCTTGGTCCTCCAAGTATAGGCTTCAGGTCATAAACCATAATAAAAACCCTAAACTACTGTTGATGATATAACTCCTGCGTTACCCACAATAAGGAATTTACCATATAGTACCCTAGTTTAGGGTGCTTGACTTTATAGATCCTATATACTACCCCTAAATCCTAAACCTTAACCCCTAAACCCTAAACACCTAAACCCCTAAACCCTAAACCCCTAAACCCCTAAACCCCTCAACCCCCTAAACCGTATGAACCCTCAACCCACAAAACCCGGGGCGTCTTTAGAGCCTATAAAACCCAGAAAAGCCCTCGACCCCAAATCCTCTGTCCTTGGAGCCCCCCAGAGGGTTTAGGGTTTTGGGTTTTGGGTTCAGGGTTGACTAGGGTTCATAGTTTAGGGTTTTGGGTTTTGGGTGGGTGGCCGGAGCCCGACTCTCGAACCTCTGTTTGAGGGCTTCTGGCCCAGTCCTTGTAAGGACTAAAGGATTCCAAGGGGTAGTTCTCTACGTCACCCATAGGCCCCTAAGTAGTTCCTTTTTGGGATTATCTTAAAGGATTCTAAGTCTAAATGTAAACCATAAGGAGGAACTACTTAGGGGCCTATGGGTAGGGTCCCTTTTAGGGTCCTTTCTCTAAGGGTGCTGTAAAGGGACCCTACCTTAGAGAACTACCCATATCTTAATTAAGAGCCGCTCCAACCCCCCCCCCTTCAGGCCTGCAAGAAGGAGAGCTGCAAAGACGGAGGAAAGCCCTCGTCGCCGAAGTCCAAGATATCATGCCGATACCACCAACTCCTTAGGAGGAAGGCCGCAGGGTGGTTTAAGGGTTTAGGGCTTAGGGTTTAGGGTTTAAGGGTTTAAGGTTCCAGGGTTAAGGATTGAGGGGGGTTCAGGATTTAGGACGCGCAGGGGAACTGTAGGGCTTTGTTACGACATAGACAGGTCTTGGTGGCTGTAGCTCCTTAGGGGCTCGTTTACAGTTCGCATGGGTGATGTTCAGAAAATAAGGGACCCGAACCACGACCTCAAATTGTAGGATCTGTACCAGTATGAGGGCGCCTCACGCCCGAGACAACTGAAGCCTCCGCAACCATGAAAGGGGCCATCCAACCTTTCGCAAATCTGGTGAGCACTTCATAACAAACACTTGAAACACGGTGCCAAAACCTCTTTGCGTCCCACCTCAAAACCACAAAAGCCCAACCACGGCGCTTCGCCTTTGAACCCGATTGAAACGCCCGTGAACCGCGAACCCTATACACAAAACCCTACAACCCCACGCCCAAAAGCCCAAACCCAAAAGCCTAAACCTCGTACCTAAGCTGAAGCCCAAAACCGGAAGAAGACCTCCCTAAACCCTACTCTAAACCCTTAGGTTTCGGGTTTAGGGGTTTAAGGTTTAGGGGTTTATGAACGGAGTTTAAGGCAGAACTAACACCGCAAGGTGCTTCTTTTCTGACGGCTTGAGCCAATGTCATGCGTATATATATATATATACA